ATCTTAATTCTTAGGATAGTCCTACTGTTTTCTCAAATTTTACTATTCCATTTAATTAGAAAACTTTTATATTGCATCTTTGTCTTATTACTTTATCTAATTCTAATTCTCCCCTTAGGAGGACATTATACCTATATTATAATTTGAACTCAAATGTTTCAGTATTAATCTAATTTCAACAACAAAATTTCTGCAGTTCATGGATGTTTATTGAAATTTGCTATGTAAGGAATAAAAAGGAACATAGTTATAACATCAGCATGACTATTTCCTTAAAGGTATAGACTGACCTGTGTTGCCATTGAATTTTAACAAAAGGGTAAATTGAGGCAGGTCTCTGAACTTGGTAACATTTATTAATAAGGAAATGCTACCTGTCAATTAATGGATCAATGGATTGCCACCATTAATGCCAAAGACCTTGAGCAGATGAATACTTCCTTTTTTTTTAAACATGTTTTTGAGAGTACAGAAGAAAAAACAGAACAGGGTAGATGACATCATAGGAATAAGGAGGCCATGACTGCTTGCAAAGTTGAGGCATAAGGAACAACATGATTGGTTGGAAATTTGGTGAAGGGGGCTAGCAAAGACCCCTCTTCATCTCTCCTGAGACTAAGAAGGGCTCATTGTTTGAGTCCATGTGCAAGATAGCAGCCCAGATATTTGGACAGTAAACCAGACATCCTTGAAGAAGAGCTTGGTAGAGTTAAAAAAAAAACTAAATCCCTTGCTTTCTCACACTTTCCTTAAGATAAGTTAAATTCCTTGAGGCAGGAGATCTGGATTTTTAAATTTAACCATCACAATCCAGCTGAACTCTGAACAAAGTTCAGAGACAAAGAATCATGACTTAAGCACTTACAGGACAAAATCAATTGATTGTAAATAGCAGCAACAAGAACAGGATACAGGATTAATCTTAATCTTCTCACCTAACATATATCATAACAGGTGAGAAACTCCCTTAGCTTTGTTTCATTCCAGAGACAAGCAATATTTAACAGCCAATCACATAACAGAACTCCACATTACTCCAAGGGTATCAAAGCCAGGTTCAGAATTAACTAGGTGGGAAATTTTTCTGTTCAGAAGGAAATAATACTATAGGCAAAATGAGTCAAGAGGATCCTATATTAGGCCATGCCAAGGTCATCTCCTAAACTTTTCCCAGGGATAGACATTTACCTGTAGCACTTATCAGACTGTGGCACCTGCCATCTTCTCCTTATATGGTGTACTATTGGCTTCATGACAATTCAGACAACCATCAAAATAATAAAACTCACAACAATATCAAATTATAATCCTAAAAGTTTTTACCTCGAAGAGAAATACATCACTAATCACAGTTTAGGGCATAAATATTGTTAGTTTTCTTTTGTTTCCCTAGCAGTTACATTTCAGTCATCCTTCACTTATAAATTGCAAATAACATTCTCAAGTTCTTTAAATTCTGCATATGGTGAATACATGACAGCTGACTCAAAACTCATTTGGCAACAATAGACTTCAGATTTAAAGACCCTATCTTAAAATTCTTTAATCCAAAGTCCACCTTTGTCAAGTTGGATCAAAATGTAACCATTACAGACTATTCAGATAAAATTCATAATTATACATGTGATAGCCAAATAATTTCAGATGAACACTCAATTTTTATTATAACAGACTTGAAAATTGCCCACTTTTGACAAATAGTGGGAAAGGGTATCCTATTTTCTGAGTTGTGCATTTTCCAATTTTAGTTCTTTAGAATTTTATAATGTGCATTCAGTAGGGCTGATAAGTTGCAATGAACCAGAGTGAATAAAAAGTCTCAAGTGACCTCACAGATAAGAGTGTCTTGAAAGATCTATGCAACTTTGCCTCAACAATATTATTTATTATTATTTTGTCATTATTATTATTATCTATTTTAAATAAAATATATCCCATTAAGTATTTAACAGTTTTCAAATATCTATTTTTAAATCACATTCTTTTAACAGTTCAATTTGCAATCTATCAGAATCAGATTAATAAAGAATTGATTTGTCTAACATCATATCAAACAGTCTTTCAGATTTCATAATATGAGAAAAAATTTAGAAACACAATAATTATATACTTCAAACATGAAACATTCTTAGATGACATCAATTCAGTCAAATGGATTTCCAATTGTTGTACATAGATAATCATTCTATTTATCTCCTTTCCCATTTTTAATCAATCCCTTCTAAAACCCACTATAGAGTTATTCAGTACCAAGCAATTACATTCAATTAAAGAAATAATAATAACAATAGTCAAAATTTCTATAGCGTTTACCATACGCCAGGTTCTACATTAAGCACTTTACAATCATTATGTCATTTAATCCTCACAATAATCCTGGGAGGTCGATGCTAATCCTATCTCCTTTACAAATTAGAAACAGAAGCAAACAGAGGTAATATTACTTGTTTAAGGTCAAATGTTAATAAATTTCTGAGACCAGGGTGTAACTCAGGTTTCCCTGATCCATTCCTTTTTCCAACTTTTTTTTTGCATTTGATGCCACAATTAATAGTACATATTTCACTATATTGTAATTTAGGTACCAAACAAATTTCAACCAAATCAATTCTTAATTTCCTACCATCAAATCAAAATTTCCATTTTTGGTTATGAGGTACCTGTGCTTTAAAACTTAGAGCCCAGAGTTAACAAGTAGCTCATTTTCAAAGGTTCATGGCAGCACTTTCACCTTTTCATGAAGTTTTTAAAAATTTCTTTTAAATCACTCCAAAAGCAAAATCTATTCATTTTGTGTTCACAACATACCCTCATCCTCTCCACTTTTCCTGATGCATTTCACTGTGAATTCCAGAGAAAGATGGGGAGAGGCTCCAAGTAGCAGCCTTGCATTCCCATCCTCTAGTATTGTAGCTTGAGAGGTTTCAAAAGATTGAGAAACATTCTTAGAATGGTCTTTCAGGGGCAGAGCATCACATTTTTAATCATATCCTAAATTATTCAAATAACTAATCTTCATTTGTATTTTTCTTTTGTAATTTAGTATGAAATATTTAAACAATCCCAATTAATTGTAATACTATTACATTTCTGGGTTTCTAAGAGCTCAAAATTTCATGGTTTCTTTCTAATATTCTTTTGTGATCTTGCTTCTAATTTCCTTAAACAATTAATTGTGTTATAAAAGTTTTTGAAAAGTTTACTTCAGACCTCTCCAAAGTCATCCCTAGTTTCTGGTTGCCTCTCCCTGCCACTTCCCCTCATTGTGAATGACTATCCCTATTATTCATAATAAGGGGTATGCCCAGACAACATTGGGGTTTGGGTAGATGGTTTTATATGGCTGGGGATGGGGTTTGGTGGTCTTTCCTCATAGACAACTTTTCAATATAAATATCCCTTTCCAAGTGTTCATTAAATTTCATTTATTTTTAAGTCCCTGCCTGATCTGAACAAGTTTTCTTCTTTTCATAATCAAGAAAGGGGTAAGTACCAGATTAAATTTAAACTGCTTGGGGCAGCTAGGTGGCACAGTGGATAGAGCAACAGCCCTGAAATCAGGAGGACCTGAGTTCAAGTCTAGCCTCAGACCAAACACTTGTCACTTACTGGTTTTGTGACCCTGGGCAAGTCACTTAACCCCAATTGCCTAAAAAAAACACAAAAAAAACAAAAAAAACTGCTTATAGCAGAATCATTTTTTTCATTTTCTCTAATCAGTGAAACTACTTTCCTTTGTTCCACAAAAAAAAAAAAGTTCTCAATCTCCAGGGGAAGGGTGATGTCTCTATAACTTTCACTTTCAAAGTATTATTCTTATCTTTCCTTAAAAGAAATTTTATGGAGTAGCAACCCAAAACTCACTAAGACCTTTCAGCATTTGTTACACTTCTGTTAATTGCCTTATGAGATAGGCAAAGAAAAAAGGTTGAGTTCCTTATTCAGTACTTGCCTCAAATCTACTTATCCCAATGGAATCATCCCATTTCAGATATCTTTCCCAACTCCAAACCCTTCCCTCTATAAAAGGGAGAGAGGTACTTAAGCTCAAATTGCAAATCTTCAAAATGTACTAAGGTGTATTTAGCAGCTTCCATAATTTGGAAATTTACAGTACAGATATTGCTTATGGTTATAAGTTCCATCTCTAATTAATGTATAACACAACAAATTTCTTAAAACCAGGAAAGAGCTTTTCTTCCTTTGATTATCTAACTTTAATTTCTGTAACTCCAACATAAATAGAGCTGAACTGGCAGAGAGAAACTATCTTGCAGGATTGTTTTTTTCTTTTTCACTTAGTTTCCTGCTAAAAGCCTAAAGTGAGAAGTAACCCTGCTTAGTTGGACAGAGTGGTTAGCACCAAGTCGCAGAAAGCTAGGAAAACTGCTTCAGGTATAAAACTATGAAGCTTCATTATTCATTCTACCAATCTTTCTAAACTCTTTGGCTGGCACTTTTTACAGCAGTCTTTATGGCTAGTTGCCTGTTCTCCTTAGAATTTCTTCAAGGTAGCAGAATCTACAAACAACATTAAACACAACCCAAGACAAAGATTTTTTTTTTGAGCATTTTACAAAGAAACAAAAATGCAGACAAAACAATAAGAGAAATACATACTTTCTAGCGTCCTTATCTTCTACAAAAAGTCTAATCTCAAGGTCTTTAATTTGTTGTAATTAAAAGTCTCTTCTTCAGGGCCAATTTGGGGTCCATTTAAATGGAATTTTTAGAACAATATGAATTTCTTTAAAATCAGTTTTAAGTGTGCTCTCTCCTTGGTCCCAGAATAGAGGAAAATTTTTCAGTGATGTTCCCATTCAGATGCTACTCCCAGATCTTATAATTTCCCCAATGGAATTTCCCCAACAATGTAGAGGTTTGCCCTAGCTTATTTCACTAAGGCAACATCTCATACATTGAGGAAGTTTACCTTAACCTACTGTCTTAAAGGACTTCATTTAGAAGGGCTTCCTGGCCCCAACAACATGAGGGCTTACCTTTACTCAGAAACAAAAAGAGAGTTAGAGGAGTCCAAACTCCTGGGGCAGTCTTCCTTGAAGAAATCCTTCAAAGAAATGTCCAGAGAGCTCAAAGCAGTTCTTTATAAAGGCTTCCCTTTGGAGTCCTTACTCACCCTGGTTGACTCTGCCAAAAATTGTGATGGGTGAAATCTGAAATAACCAAGGAAACAAAGGTTCAAGCTTCCAAGCATATAAATGTATTAAGCAATGGATGCCAATTGTATAACAATTTGGGATCAGGCCTCCTCAGCTTGGCACTAGACCCCAAATACAGGGTAAGATAAATTTTTGTGCTTTAAAAGTGAACAATTAACAGGATGTCAACCAGGATACAAGATTGGGCAATCTGATTTCTAACTGGAAGAAAAATTAGGGACTTTATGAGCTGGGAAGGGGACTAGGGGAGTTTGAGGAAGTGAGAAGGGGGAGAATGAGTGGGTGGATGTTCCAGAAAGTGAAGCAGTATGTCAATCAATTCCTGATTAGCAAGCAGGTGGAATTTATGGAAAATTGAAACTTAAGTCTCAAAATGCAGTCAATTTTATAAGATGGAGTCAGTTTGGTTCAGATAATTCCCACAGTTCTCAAAGTACATATCCACCAAGCTAGATACCAGAAAGAGTAACCATAATATAAGAAGAGGAAAATCAGGGGCACCTAGATATTTACAAGAGATAAAAACAAGAAAAGAACCAGTTATAAAATACATGGCCCCACGTGGACACAAATGCACAAAACATGAGTAATAAGCAAGGTGACAAAGAGATCCTAATTCAGTAATTCACATTTGACTTATTTGATCCTCCAAAATGCTTTCCTCCCTTGATTATCTCCAATTTATCTTGTACATATCTTGTTTGTACATAATTATTTGAAAGACATGCCAACAATCTTCCTCATTAGATTGTGAGCTCCTTGAGAACAGGGAATGTTTTACCTTTTTTGCCTTTCTTTATATTCCTAGTACTTGGCACAGTACTTGGCATATAGTAGATGCTTAATAAATTCTTTTTGACTTGATTAAAACTTAGTGAAATGAGAACAAAACTGGGAAAACAACTCCATAAAGGGTATACCTTATTCAAAGGGAACAGAAAAGTCAGGAGAGGTTCAAAACAGCATAGCATATTAAGAAGATATGCTCAAGGAGTAGAAGTAAGAAGATCTCAAGGAAGGAGTACTTCAAGGAGGAAAAGGGGGCATCCTTCCACTCACTTCATCAACAGGCCTATTCCCTGAATGGGCATTGCCTTACTCAAAGTGAGAACTCAGAAAGACCTTAGCTTAAAAAGGTCAAGGTCTTCCAGTGCATCCTGGCCATCTCCAGTCTTCCTGATCTGGACCTAGATGACTCTGGTGGAGAAAGTGAGGTTGGTGACTTTGCACAGTCCTCCCTCACTCAAATCCAATTCAATACAAGTCATGGCATCATCTCCCTGAAGTCATGGTCCTCTTCGAGAACAAATGACAAACCCAGAAATTGGTGGTGGTAGAAACCTAATGAGAGCTTTAAGATGAAGATCTGAAAGGACAGAAACAGAAACCTAAATTCATATTTGGCTTCAGACACTTACTAGCTGTGTAACCCTGGTCAAGTCACTTTACTCCTGTTTGCTTCAGTTTCCTCATCTGTAAAATGGGGATAATAATAGCACCTACTAAAGAGGCTTGTTGTGAGGATCAGATAAATTAATATGTGAAAACAGGTTAATACGGTAGGCACCCAATAAGTGCTAGTTTTCTTCCATCCTTTAGTTTCCATAAAAATGGTCTGAAGCAGGCTAAGGCAGATGACATGCCTCTATGCCATTCACTCCAGGTTTCAAAGTTTGGATTCTTCCTCCTAGTTTTTCTCACTGCCTCTGATGTTTCTTCCATGGCTATAATATAGCATTGTGACTGACACCATGATATAAAAAGGATACAGGAAAGGAAGAAGCACAAGAAACACTTCTGGAAAAACAATGACAACACAGAGATATCATGAGATTACTGATATCATCAGAAAGAATGTTGCAGGTGAAAGTTCCCTGAACTTGGGGTCAGAAGATCTGTATACCATTCAGGGCTTTGCCACTTATTGTGTGACTTTGATTGGGCAAGTCACCTCAACTCTTTGAAACTCAGTTTCCTCATCTAAAAAATGGGAATAAAAATACCTGCACCATCCTCTTCACAGAGTTGTTGTGAGGAGAAAACCTTAAAGTGTCATGATCAACATTCAATAAATACATCTGCTAAGATGAGAATCCATTGTGTGGGTAAGCTATGTGTTAAAGTTAACATCTTTCTCTCTCATGATTGTCAGCTTCTGATGGTGTGTATGTGTTACATGTGACTGAGCTGAGAAAAAAATCCAGTTAGCTAATTAAAATGGAGCCTCCCACAGTGCATTTTCATTAAATCTTTCTTAAAATGTATTTATGTTCCATGGAACACTACATTCATTTCTAAGTTTATTATGAGATAAAAGGGGCAAAAACTGTATAGAAACTCTCTATGATAAAGGTCTCATATGCAAAATGTATATGAAACTGTGTAGATACATACAAACATAAGCCATTCCCTGATAGATTATTGATCAAATAATATTAACAGGTGGTTCTTAAGAAGGCAAGCTATAATAAATAGGTAAAATGAGATCTGAAATCAAAGATGTGAAACACACAGTCCCATATTGTGCAAGCAATACTCCCAAATGAGATCAGAATAAGATAAAAATGTTATTGGGAAATATTTTTAAAATAAACTAAAGTAAAATAAAACAGATAATTTTATTATGTGATTTTGTAAGTCAATAGGATCAATGGAAATCCTTACATACAATTTAATGGCTTCTATTTCTATCTGAGTTTAACACTATTACTTCAATAAATAGTGAATTGTCAATAAATATTTATGAAATACCTACTTTGTGCCAGGCACTGTGCTAAGCACTGGAGATATATGGAGAATATTTTTTGTATGATTTTGTATGTATAATGGAAATCACATTTCTTGACTTCTTAATGGGTAGTGAAGGAGCAGGATGGGAGGAGAGAATTCAAAACCCCCCCAAAAAATTTCAGTGAATGTAAAATACCCATCAATTTGGGAACAACTGAAGTTGTGGTATATGGGACTTCTGCTTCCAGGAACCAAGATGGCAGAGTAAGAAGTAAGTCACTCTCACTCTCCCTTACCAACCTCTGAAAGCCTAGAAAATATCACCCCAGGAAAAACCCTGGAATAGCTGAACCAGAATAAAGATGGGGTACAGCAGTCCAGTACCTCAGATACCTTGAAGGATTAATAAGAAAGGCTCCTCTTGCCCTGAGAGAAGAGGAGCAGTACACATGAGAGGCATCCCAGCAAACTAGCACAAAGCCCCACCTCAGCATACCAGGAGGAGATCCTGAAACCCTGGTGGTGAAGCTGGCAAACACCAACACCTGGACCTCTGAGTGCCTCAGTGAGGGAAGGGGGACCTGTGGAAATCAGCTGAGAAAACCACCAGGTTCCTTAGCACTCTATAGCAGTCTCTCAGTACCTCAGTAAAACTTTGTGAAGCACTCCAAGGGGCCGCAGGTGGATAAACATTCTATGACATCCATTTGAAAGGAGCTAAGAAAATGAAAGGAAAGAGAAAGCAGGCAAACTCCAGGGGCCAGACTACCCAATCTTACCCCTAGAGTTCCAGTGTTGCTAATTCCAGCCCAACACCAAGTAACCCTACAGCCTCCAACTGCCAAAATCAGAGATCCCAGCCCAAAAAGCCAGTGACCAGGCCCTAGGCTCCCAACACAAGAAGCTTGGGTCAGTGCCCTCTCCTCCCCAGCAGGATTGTTCAATCTCTTTAAAAGCTAGGAAATAAGGAAACAACATGAGCAAAAAGAAATGCATGATAGATTCATATTATAGCAGTGAAGACCAAGGCAGAAATTCTGAAGAGGACAACATTGTCAACAAACCCATATCTGGAACCTCAAAAGGGAATATAAACTGGTCTGAAGCCCAAAAAGCCTTCTTAAAAGAGCTCAAGAAGGATTTTAAAAGTCAAATGAGAGAGGTAGGAGGGAAGATGGGAAAAGAAATGAGAGGTATGCAAGAGAGAATCAATAGCTTGGAAAAAGAAGGACAGAAATTAACTGTAGAAAACGAGTCCTTAAAAAATACAATTGGCCAACTGGAAAAAAAAAGTACACTGAAGAAAACAAGTCCCTAAAAAATACAATTGACCAAATGGGGAAGAAGGTACAAAATCTAATAGAAGGAAACAATTTGTTAAAAATTAGGATTGGCCAAATGGAAGCTAATGACTCTATGATAGAGCAAGAATCAGTCAACCAAAAACAAAAGAATGAAAAAATAGATGAAAACATAAAATACCTCATTGGTAAAACAACTGACCTGGAAAATCAATCCAAGAGAGACGATTTAAAAATTATTGGTCTACCTGAAAATCATGATGAAAAAAGGACCTGGACAGTATCTTTCAGGAAATCATAAAGGAAAACTGCCCTGAGGTCCTAGAACCAAAGGGTAAATAGCCATAGAAAGAATCCACTGATCACCTCCTGAAGGAGATCCCAAATTGAAAACGCCAAGGAATATAGTAGCCAAATTCCAAAATTACCAGGTCAAAGGGAAAATATTGCAAGCAACCAGAAAGAAATAATTAAAATATCATGGAACCACAGTCAGAATTACACAGGACCTTGCAGCTTCTACATTAAAAGACCACAGGGTGTGGAATATGGTATTCTGTAAGACAAATGAGCTTGGATTACAACCAAGGATCAACTACCCAGTGAAAATGAGCATGATCTTTCAGGGGAGGAGATGGATATTCAATGAAATAGGGGACTTCCATACTTTCCTGATAAAAATACCAGAGCTCAACAGAAAATTTGATCTTCAAATACAAGACTCAAGAGAGACATAAAATGGTAAATGGGACAGAAAGATATAACATGTTGTTAATAATGGCAAACTGTTTACATCCCTGCAAGGGAAGATGACACTTGTAGCTCTTGAGAACTGTATTGTTATTACACCATGTTAAAGGGGTATACATAAAGAAAGTGGATATAAGTTGACTTTGTTGTAATGATAAAAAAATATCTAATCAAGTGGGTTAAATGGATCCAAGTAAGTGGATTAATCTGATCTAAAAAATGTCCTGAGAGAAAAGGAAAAGAGAAGGCAGACAAGGGTAAATTACATTACAGGAAAAGGCACAAAAACCTGTTACAGAAGAGGGAAAGAAGG